CGAGGCGCCGAGAAGTGGCCGGCGGAGGGGCGGCAGCGACGGGCACTTCCGCCCCGAGGGACGTCCCGGGGAGCCCTGGCGCGGGGAGGAGCGCCCGCTGCGAGGCGTCCGGCGTCCCCGGAGCCGGGGAGAGCACCTGAGCGTGCCTCGCGGCCCTTCTCCGGGCCCTGGGGAGCGTCCTCGGTCCCTGCCCGCAAACCTGAAACTTTCTTTTTTCGTGTCTTTTCTCTTTCGTTTCCCACGGGCTGTGCGTGGTTTTCCGCCCCGCTCTGAGCCGGCGAGCGCACCTTCGCGGTCTGCGACGCCGCCCGCCCCGCAGCGCTCAGGAGCGAGGCGTTCCAGGGAGATCCGCGGGTTTCTGGAAATCGTCCTCGCACTCTCCCCGCGCCTGTCCTGTCTCCTTTTTTTTTTTTTTTTTTTTTTTTTAAATCATAGGCGTTAAAGAAACTGAATGCTTTCGGTTTGTGTAAGGTGTGTTACGTGTCCGTAATTAGTCCAAAGCAGGTTCCGAGGCACCTGGCAGCTGCCAGTCCAAAGGGCCAAGAAGTTGTGCAACCTGTTCTGAGTCAGAATGAGTGAGATGTGAGGTCTTCGAAAGGGAGAAAACACCCCGATCAGGAAAGGGGCTGACCGTCAAGTTTTAGGTGTTCTTTTTTTGAAACCAGTTTTAAATTCACCTAGCTTCCTTTTGCCGGGCCCAGTGTATGAAGCGTTTTTGTGTGATGGTACGACGGTGTTACTGTTCTCGGGCACACGCTTGTTCTGGGCTTAAGTTGTGAAGAGAATGTAATGGCCTTGTTCATTTGTTCTAGAGATGGACAAGAACAACAAAATAGTCCTCAGATTTATAAGTAACGATACTGTACGTGTACAATAAAATAGTAGTCATTCATGTCCATACACATATGTGTATATATCGCGGTTTCTACAGGTAAGTAGCACTTTTCAACTGATTTCAAAGTGACCAGAAAGCTTAGCTTCTTGTGGCTGTTATCTATAAATTTAAATATATTGTTTTTCAACAATTTATATTTTCTAATCCTAGCACTGTAAAGTCATGTAACAGACTATTTTAATACATCATTAATAGTAATGTGATTAATAATCCCATCATCTTAACGGTGATTAATGATCACCTGTTTATTACGCCTCTAATTATTTTTCTTTATTTCATAGAAAAGTAAAACAAAATTTCATAACAAAATAATAGGAGAATAGCAATCGTTGATATGCTACATGTTGTTATCTTTAAAGTTCTTAACTCAGGGTACAAGATATGGGCATAAAAATTTCTCCAATCGGTATTAGCACAAACCTTCCTTTTTAATGACCTAAGAGACACTAAGAGTATAGCTGACTTGCATTCTTTACGTTTTCACTACTGCCCTTTCCCCAATCCTAGTTCCTTTTTCCTTTTGAACAATTTGTTCCTATTTCAAAATATCTGTTGTACTTTTTAGAACTTACTTACTCTTTCAGTTTCTCACACTAGGGAGACAATACAGTTTACACATGTGAGTTTGATTTATTTCTCTGATGAGTATGGTCTCACATTGCATCTATTTACCTATAAAAGTCTCAAGTTTATCCTTCTCTATGGCTGAGTTGTACTCTTGTATAAAAAGACCACTTTTTATCCATTCTTCTGTGATGGGCATTTGGGTTGTTTCCAAGATTTAGCTATTACAAATTGTGCTGCTATAAACATGGGTGCATATGTATTGCTGTGGTATAATATTTTAATTCTTTTGGGAAATACCCAGAAGGGGACTAGCTGGGTCGTTTTTTGGGGAATCTCCACACAGATTTCCACAGTGGTTGCCCCAGTCTACACTCCCACCAACAGTGGAGAAGGGTTCCTTTTTTCCCCACAGCCCCTCCAACATTTGTTATTGGCTGATTTCTTGGTGATAGCCATTCTTTCTGGGGTGAGATGGAATCTCAGTATTGTTTAATTTGCATCTCCCCAGTGACCAGTGATGTTGAACATTTTTTCATATATTTATTTGCCATTTGTATTTCTTCATCTGAGAAGTGTGTGTTCATCTCAGATGCCCATTTTTAGATAGGGTCTTTGAATTTGAGGAGTCTGATTTTTTTTCAGTTCTTTGTATGTTCTAGGTAGAAGTCCTTTGTCCTTTGAACAACTGGCTAAAATTTTCCCATTTGGTTATCTTTTCACATTGTTGGTGATTGATTTTGCCGTTTAAAAGCTTTTTAATAAGATTAGATCCCAGTTGTTGGTTCTTTGAAATATTTTCCGTGCAGTCTGGGCTTTGTTCATGAACTCTCTACCTACAACTATGTCTTCCAGATTTCTACCTACTTTATTTTCCAGTAGATTTAGTGTGTCTTTTTACTCGTGATTTTTTTTTTTGGTACCAGAAATCGAACTCAGGACCTTGTGCAGGCACTTGTGCTGCTGAGCTATATCCCTGGCCCTAGTGTTTCTTTTTAATATTTAGATCTTTGATCTATTTTGACTTTAGTTTAGTGCTTGGTGATAGACCTAGGTCTAGTTTTAGTCTTTGCCATAGAGAGCCAGTTTTTCCAGCACCATTTATTTATTTATTTATTTTTTTGGTTTTTCTCCGGTACCGGGAACCGAACTCACGACCTTGAGCTTGCCAGGCAGGTCCAGCACCATTTATTAAAGAGGCTATTTTTCTTCCAGTGCACATATTTGGCCCCTTTGTCAAAGATAAGGTGCCTGAGTGTGTTTGTAGTTGTGCCTGCATCTTCTAATTTGGTCCACTGGTCCTCAGATCTGTTTTGTTTTTTTTTTTTTTTTTTAGTGCCATGCTGATTTTATCACAGTAGCTTTGTAGTATAATTTGAAGTCAGGGATTGTAGTGCCTCCTGCCTTGCCTTTTTTTGTTCAGGATTAGCTTTGCTATTCTAGATCTTTTCTGGTTCCAGATGAATTTTAGCAATTCAATTTTAGCAAATTCTCTAGTTCTGTGAGGTATGTTAATGGTATTTTGATTGTGTTCCCTTAATTTAAAAAATGAAAATCATCAAGGCGTTTGATTCTCCTGTGAACCCTATCCCATTCTCCTTTCTCTTATCACTGCTGTTTTATCTTTTCTGCTTTGATGCTTCCTTAATCAGACTGGGAAGGAATGAAAGAGATAAAGGGAAGATACAGAAGATGAGACATTCACAGGCTGCCTTTTTATAGTCATGTCATTGTTCAGGTCACCTAATTCTCCATTTCTCCATAGAATTTAACTTTTCTCTTACAAATTTAGAACTAGTGGTTTTGTACCATTTTTATTCTCCCCTTTTGTAACATTTACAAGTACTGTAGTTCATGATCTAGTGTTCAGAATTAAAAAGCACAAGAGGTACAAAGATTAAAAACAGAAAAGACAAAGGTTATTGCTCTCAAAGCACTCAAGATTAGTAAGTTAGACCTAGAAAAATGGAATGAGGTAAATTATTTAACTGATATTTTTAGAAATGCAGTGATGGCACAAAGAAGAAAATGAATCATTTTTCTCAGGTAGTTCTTGGGAGATTTTACAGAGTAAGTCATACTTGGACTTAATAGGGCAGAGGAGCTTAGGTACAATGAGGAGAAGAGGCAAACTATCTGAGACAGAAGGACTAACCAGCAAAAGGAGAGGAAGGAAATAGTTTGGTGCATTTGAGGAAGTGGACAGTAGTTTGGCTGTACAGTGTCTTAGTTTGGTTGTTGCAGTTAAATGAGATGAGATTGGTGAGGACAGGTGCGGAGACCAGATTCCAGAGGGCCTCAGCTGTTGACAAGGACATTAAGCTATACAGAGGAATTAGAGCCATTTAAGAGATTGGTCATTGGGTGTTTTTTTTGAAAGCAGGAGAATCAGGTGATCGGGTTCATATCTTAGTTTGTATTTTTGTTTTCTGTATCAACAAAATTAATTACCAACCTCAACATTTTCTGTTCACCACCATACACATCTAATCCAAAGGTACTCAGTTTTGGCTCAGTATTGGAATAATATGCCCAGGGCCCCATTTTAAACCAATTAAATGTGAATACCAACATGATTCTAGCGGGCAGCCAGCGTTAAGAACTGCTGATCTGTCTTACGGACAGCTATCCCTTATCTCTTATCTTTCTTTTATTATATCTTTTTTGTGTTTTGTTTGATTGGTTTTTTATTTTATTATAGAGCCCCAAGCATCTTCTCATAAGTGAGTTACCTTTCTGGGATAAGTATACTAAAACATGTATTGCCTAAGTAAAGAATTTGAAAATACATAATAATATAATATTATATTGTTTAATATGAAGCCAGAAGGCTGTTTACTCTGGCACAATTATCACTGAAGGAAATAATTTCAAAATCTAAATACCTTTCAAAACATTCTTTTACATCTAAGTGGTTGTGTATGCTTGTTTTTACAAAATATGTACTTGAGGGTGTGTTTGGCACTTTTAAACTCTTCTCTGAAGTTTGGCTTATTTTAATTTCTTTTTTAACTCTCATAGGCATAGTCTTTCTTTCTGTGTTGCAACTATACAGAGTGGTCATCTGTTTCTTCTAATGTTATCCAGAAAGGCAAATGAAACAAAGTTTTAATTGTAGTTCACTTTCATAGCCAAATAATAATAACATCCTCACATCATTATCTAATGATTTTTTCCTCACTGGTTAATTTCATGTTTATCATCCTGGGCACTGAGTCTTACATTTTTTCTTTTAGCTCATTCTCTGCTAATCACTGGACTTCTTACTGGCTTCAAGCACATTAAATTTAAACTGTTCCCTGTCTTCTGGAACATTCTTTCTCCATACCTTTGTAAGCTTCAATCCATTAATTCACTCAGATTTCTTACCATATCCTGTTCCTCAG